GTCTCTGGTCTGGGAGCAGGTGTCTAGGTAGAGGTGGACCCTGGGAGCTGGGCAGTCTCTGGTCTGGGAGCAGGAGTCTAGGTAGAGGTGTACCCTGGGAGGTGGGCAATCTCTGGTCTGGGAGCAGTGTCTATGGGAGATTCCTGCCTGGGTGTGGGCTGTACAGGGATCTTTGATGGCACCAAGTACAGTACTGTGCTCCCTGCTCTTTTCTTATTATTGCTCTCTTTCTGGTGTGGGAGGTGCTTTGCCTCTGGTAAGGCTGGCACTCTCCTGTGTGCCATTCCCTCATGCTTGTGGCTCTTCTTACTATATCTCCGGGGTTGAACTTGAAGGAAGCCTATGGCAGAGCCATTCTCTGGTCCCGTGTTTTTTGGGAAGGGAAGACTTAGGCATTCAGTCATCAGGAGACCAAGGGTTGTCCACTGGTCATTGCTTATTCAGAGCTGATCAATGTAAAAGGGACAGAGTGCTAAATGTCAGAAAAATTAATCTTAAAGTTCATTCATTCAGTCAAAGCTAATGACAGGCAGCACCCGCATAGTCTACACGTGAGATGCTGACCAGGGATGCTGGCCATCACCTCCTGGGCAGGAGGCAGGGACCCAGAAGGACTCCCGGAGTTCCCACCTGGCTCACGCAGCTGGCCTGGCTCAGGGTGCTCACGGCCCGCATGTAGCTCTGGTTCCTTGAGCGGAATTTCGGGGAGTTGTAGTTGGCAGAGGGGTCCAGGCTGTGACCGACCGGCACCTCACTTGCAGCTTGCAGGTAGCTCTGGCTACAGGAAAAGAGAAAGGAGAGAAGGTGACCAATGAGATCCAGGGACCGGGGGCAGGGAGCTCGGGAGCTGTGTAGGTTTCCACCAGGATGTTGGTCTTTTGATGGATAACATTGCTGCATGCGAATATTCTGAGATTCACATCCACAAATGTGAATTTCATCAAAAGTAATAGGGGAGGCTATTTACAAAATTGCTTTGAAACCTGACTTTTTATGGCCAGGTGGTGAAATTAGGATCATTTTACATAAAAATAAAAAAAGTGATGAAGCAATTATTATTCATATAGCAAAACAGCAAACTCAGCTCCTGAATTTAAGCCAAGAGTGCTGAAAGCCTCATAAAAATCACGTTAGCTTTTTGGCAACTTAACATTACTTGAAAAAATAAAAAAATAATAACTTCGGTTATCACTTCAGTTTAAAATTATGCAAAAGGTCAGCATATCATGCAAAGTGTGCCAAAAGAGTAGACCGAAGAATCCATCCATTGTATTGCCACAATGACCACTGCCTTCCAAGTTCCCTTAAAAATAAATACATTCTGGTTGGGCACGGAGGCTCACTCCTCTAATCCCAGTGGCTCAGGAGGCTGAGGCAGGAGGATGGCAAGTTCAAAGCCAGCTTCAGCAACTTAGTGAGGTGCTAAGCAACTCTGTGAGCCTCTGTCTCTAAATAAAATACCCAAAAGGGCTGGGGATGGGACTCAGTGGTTCAGTGCCCCTGAGTTCAATCCCCCTTACTATAAATAAATAAATACCTTTTGGTCCTCCTTCTGGACATTTTGTAAAACGTTAAAAATGTGGGAAGATCTTGAGGACCTTTGGCAGATAGAAAGCCAAACCTTGTTCAAATTTCTGTCCAATTTGATCTCTTTCCTTTCAGGTTTTACCTACAATTTTTCCATAGTGCATACACTTCATTTTATTTTGTAAAACAGTGGAGAACTGTGGACAGACATCTCTGATCATCCTCTTCCCTGTTTTGGTTCATGATGGGATATCAAGTGTCACTGCAGTGGCCTGGATATAAAAATGCACATAAACGCTAGGTGAGCACCTCTGACTTCATCAATGGGTGCTAAAGTGTGTCCTTTTTTCCCCCCAAATTAAGTCTTAGTGTAATTTGTGTTCTCTTTAGTTTTTGGTACTGAGAATTTTAACCCAGGTGTTTTATTGCTGAACCACATCCTTTTTATTTTTATTTTGAGTCAGGTCCTGGCTTTGTTGCTGAGTTTGTTCTTGAACTTGCAACCCTCCTGTCTCAGCCTCCCAAGTCACTGGATTACAGGCATGAGCCACTGTGCCCAGCTCTCTTATTTACTTTAAAAATAGAATATCAGAGAAAAAAAAATTGAACTCTATAAATTCAAATTAAGTGAAGCCTATTATAGATATAAATTCATTCTTCCTAACAAAAATAATTTTTTGCTTTAAAATAATGTACATAGCATGCTCCACCTTCTACCCGCTGCCCCCAAGAACAGAGTGGGGAGCGTGTGCCGGAGGGCTGTGCAGGGGAGAGCCGAGCTGGGAGCTGCCTGGCCCTGGGTGTGGGAGCAGGGTGCGGACTTCAGGGCGTCCGCTCACACAGGCCCAGCACTGTGGGGCCCGTAGCTCCACAGCAGGCCTGGGTGGCACCAGCAGGGCTGCCCCTGCCCTCCTCCTTGGATCCCCCAGGCCACCTGAGGACAGGTGGGCAGAGCTGCCTCGACCATCGGGTTCCCTGGGGCAGAAGAATGTCGGGGGCTCTGACGTGGACAGGCAGACTCCTGGAGGCCCTGCCCCGACCTGCTTTCTTTGCACGTGTGCTCCCTGAACACGTGTCGGCAGGGCACCGCTTGAAGAGACCGCCTGAGCGGTGGGGCAGGGCTGCGTGGACGCAGGAGAGCCGCAGGGCAGGGTGGTGTGGGTCAGGGGTGGCCTTGAGCCGCGAAGGCTCCGACCTGCTCACTCTGTCTTTGCAGACGTGCAGCCCTGCCCCTGCACTCCCTCGAGGTCTCTGATCCCATGCTTTCCTCTGTACCGGTGGCACAGGTTCCTTGTCTTCTCCAGGTCGACCTCCCCTGCCCATCGGGCCACCATCTCACCACCCCAACGTTCTCAGTGCGGAGGACGTGTGTCACCTGCCACCTGCTCCAGAAGGCAAGGGGCAGAGAACCCTGGACTCACTCCTGCTGGTCCCCATGGGTACTATTTCCAACTGGTGTCTGGCGCTGGAATGGTGGCCTCAGCTCCCATGGCCACCCTGTTGGTGGCCAGTGGGTGGCATCATGGGGGATCCACATATCTTGTGATTCTGTGTTTCGAATGTTCAGTGATTCTGTTTCAAAGTTGGGTGTGCCCCTCAAAGGGTGCCATTGTAGGGACCTAATACCAGTTTCCTGTTAAACACGACTCATGTGGTTCACGTCTGCTGATACTGCAGTGAGCCATTTACCCCTGGACCAACCCACCAGAGTGGGTCTACGGCCCTTGCGGTGAGGAGGCAGAACCCGAGGGCCATGGATGCAGTGCCCCATGCTCCCGCCCCCGCAGAGCAAAAGCAGAGCTGGGTCCTGAGCCCAGGCAGCCCCTGCTGCAGGACTCCCGCCCTTCCCTCCAAGTCCACAGTTGCCAAGATGTGAACAGAGAGCCCGGGCCTCTGGCCTCTGTTACCCAGCCCAGTCATCCCTGGTGCCGGACCCCAGGGGAAGCCAGGCACACCCTCCATGCTCTTTGTCACCTCTAGATCACTGACAGTCCCCAACATGATACTGCTGTCATCGGAGGCCAAGCCGGCTCATGCTGCGGGAGTGGCAGAGGACATGTGTTACCTGCCACCACATGTGCCTGGATAGAGCAGAGTGCTCAGTGTGTGGCCACTTCAAGGTTTGGTTTTTGAACTTTCTGGAATTTTCTTTTTGAATATTTTCTACCTGTGGTTTGTTGAATCTGTGGACTTAGAACCCAGGTATATGGAGGGCTGGTGAATGTTTAAAATAGTTTTAAAACCTGCTTTAGTTTCATTAGGCTTAACAGGTTTTTATTGAATTTATCAGTGTTTTATGATGTGGTGTCGTAGAGGATCAGGTACCCTGTCCATCACAGAGCTGGTGACTGGCCATCAGGAGCCAAGGTTGGAAGCCAGCCAGGGTCACAGCAGCCAAGTCAGGTTCCCTCGCCCCCATGCAGCCGTGAGCCCCACAGCCTCTAGTTGTGACCTGCCCCTTGCTGCTCCAGAGACCCCTCCTCAGGAGTCCCGCACATCGGGAGGCTGCCTTCCAGCCACCGAGTGATTCCCTCAAGGTGGACCTCTTACTTTGCCATAGCCGACGTCGGAGAGTAAAACAGCCTCCCACATAGATCTATTGGTAGCTCTAGAAACTTTACAAGGAGACCATAAATCATTTCTAGAAAAACATGAAAACACTTTTTTTCTTCTAATTTTTGCCTTAGAAATGCTGCCTGTATTCGATGGTCGTCTGTGCGTGAGACTGGAAGCTCATTTTGGAGAGCTCTGGATGGAAAGGCGACCGTAGGAAAGAGAGCAGAGGTCCCCCAGGGTCCTGCTGTCCTCCACTTGCAGACTGCCCAGAGCTGTTTGTTGAGTCCTGGGCTCACAGAGCTCACCTGTGACTTCAGAGCACCATCAAGATAAACCTACACCCAAGTGCATGCCCAAGCACGTCTACTGGGCAGGGGTGTAAATGACTTGGAACACAGACAAAAAGCCCCCTCTGTGGTTCTGTGCAGGTCACCCAAGGAGAAAGTGACTGCAAGTTCTCCAAACCAGTGTGCTCTTCCCGAACACAGAGGGCCATTTCCATCTTATAACCTGCACCCCCGTGGAAAGTCCAGCTTCCTCCAGGGCCTCAGGGGGAGAAGGGAACCCGTGAGGCCCTCAGATGTGTGCCGTGCCTGCTCTGCCGTACAGAGGTCCTGCTGGGGTCTTTCAAGTTCCCACTTTGGCAGGGCGTGGTTCTTCTACATGGCTTCTATGTCCAGTCTAGCTGCCCTTTGGCCTCTAGGAGCCAAGGGAAGATTGTCCCCTATCAATCCTGACTGTTAGTGCCCTGCAGCCCCCTCCCCACCAGGCCTCCCCCCCGGCTCAGGAAACCCACACTGCACTGGCCCCTCTTCAGATGACCTGCCATGTCCCTGGGGGCCTGCTTGGGGTTTCTGAGCAGCAGCCTCCCTTCCTGAAAGGCCCTGCTCCCATGCCGACTGTTCGTTGAGGTCATGGTATTTGGTTGCCTCCTGGGGAGAGGGTCTCAGCACTGGAATCTGCGGGTTCCACCTACAAGCCTTGACACGTATGTGCACATTTCCCCCACGTCCTCTGCTGCGCCCTGTGCAGCAGGTTCTGCACCTGGCTCCTGGGCCCGGGAGCTCAGGCCACCCACGTCTGCGAACACTGTCACAGGTCCCAAGCTTTCTCCGTGGTGTGAGGCCAGGTCCTGAAGGTCCCAGGAGGATGTGGCACAGCAGTGCTGAGGGATGATCCACCGGCTGGGTGCTGGGTCTGCGCACCATCTCTGCAGACTTTGCAGGAGAAGCTCAGAACCGAGGTCTCACAGGGACCCCAGGAGAGATCTCGGAGAATCACCTCACTTCCTGCCTTTCAGATGAACCCCCAGGAGCAGCCAGGCACAGGAACTGCCTGGGGACCAGCATCTGGGTCTCCGGCTCAGCTGCCCGGCTCCTCCTGCTCCCTGTCTGCTCCTTGGCACCTCCTCTGCTTCTCCAGGACTTACTAGTTGGCTCTCGGGGACTCCTCCATGGGAAGGCAAGAGCCCCGAGTCTTGCTGGGGCCAGGAGGCACGTGGTGTGCAGAGAGGCAGGTGAAGCAGCTCACCAGGCCGATGTGGACTTCAGACCAGCGGGAAGCGTTTCTAGTATCAGCAATTCCCTGAGGAGGGGAAGGGATGGCAAAGTCCCAGACCGTCCAAGACACTGTGCAGAACGAGGGGAGCCTCTGGGGTCATCAGGCGTTTCTGAGGGGACAGCAACAGTGGCACTG